CTCTGTTGGTCTGACGATTGTGTTCCACATGTTGATGATCATTTCGAGATTACTTTTCAAATTACAGGTACTTCGGCGAGCTTTTGGATGGTCTGGAGTATTTGCATAGTCGTGGTGTCGTGCACAAAGATATTAAGCCGGGAAATCTCCTACTCGCCACAGACGGAATGCTGAAGATTTCAGACTTCGGTGTCGCGGAGGTTTTGGACAGGTAATTATCGCGACATGTGATGCTATAGTAAACCATTTATTCGCGATTTCCAGGTCCCATCGTCCCGAAAACGACCTTAATTTTTGAACAGAAAAAAAGGTCCCTATCGAATGATAACTCTATTTTGATGCGCTTTGGTAGAAAGTGACAAATTCACCCCCTTTTAAAGAAGAATAATGTATTTGCTTTTAAGACGTTACGTTGGACAAAAGCCGTGTTAAGGCTCGCTTGAATTTTTTTTTTCGAGTGAAAGTCAACTTGTACTCAATTTTCATTGACCATTATAATGTTAATTATTAGGCAAAGAAGCGGGTGTTTTCTCGTATCTTCGTTTTGCATTGTCTATTTTCTGTAATTCACTTCAGATCACACTGCAAACGTACCCTCGGAGGCAAGAAGATTTTAAATGATCCTCTGATACTTCACATGAATCGCAGTATTTTAATGACCGCATATTTTTGGCCAATATCGTGAACGAGCAGTTCGCTCGTGGACCTAGAACGTCATTGATTCTCTGACACACCCTCAAAATTTTTGGCCATTATTTTTAAGAAAAGATCTCTACTCTTTTATATACTGTAGTACCGTCGTTGACACACGTAATTCCCACAGGTTCGCTCCTGATGACACCATCAGCGTTAGCCAAGGCACGCCTGCGTTTCAGCCGCCGGAAGTTGCCATAGGACTTGAAGCGTTTCCGGGGTTCAAGCTGGACGTGTGGTCTAGCGGTGTGACGCTGTTCAACCTCGTCACAGGGGAATATCCGTATTACGGTGACAATGTGTTCCAACTTTATAAAAGCATTGCGGAAAAGGAGCTGGCATTGCCCGCCAATTTGGATGAATGGCTGTGTCATCTCCTTTCGGGGATGCTCAACAAGAATTTCGAAACTCGCCTGTCAGTTACGGAGATCAAGCGACACGAGTGAGTGGTTATTAACGCCCCGAAATAATGTGGAAGTTCCATTTGTTGTTTCGACTGTTTTCATTCTTGTTGTTTCCCCTTTTTCAAGTGTTTCAGTTTAAGATTTTATGGATTTTTGTCACATTTTCCGTA